CTAAAAATTAAAATCAATAGATAAAATTTCTTTTTCGTGCAAATCCATAAAAAGTTTGATATTAAAATTATATTTGATTTTAAAATTATATTATACGATTATATTATAAAATTATATTATAATATTCTTCCGAATTTAAAAATAAATTAATCTCCATAACTTTCAAAATTAAAAATAATTAAATAAATAACAACAATTTTGCAAAAACATTAAAGAACATAAGAATATTATTCAATAAAAGTTTAGGTTACTTTGAATTTTCGATTTCCTAGAAATGTACTTTTAAATCGTTACTTTTTTTGTTCAGTACTTGTACTTTTACTTCTACTTTTTACTCGTTACTTTTTTTAAAAATACTTGTACTTTTTCTCGTTACTTTTAAAAAGCAACGTTGCCATATATGCATATATGCTTTGAAACTTTCTTACTTTGAGTAGTTAAGCAGTTACTTTGAGTTGATAGGTGAACCCTATATGTGAACATTACACTGCACAGTGGGACCAAAATCAATTTTTGTGGTCAACAAAGGAAAAAATGAAGTATTTGCAAGAATTACTTTTAACATGAATTTTTTTTTTTTTGTAAAATCTCCAAGGAATGTTCTAGCAAATTTTATTTCGCTATTTAATAAATAATAAGTACAATTAAATTCAAGTAAATTTAACCAAAAAATATTATATTACTTTCAACTTGATTGGATTAATTGATAATTTTTTCTAATTGGCAAATATTAGCAGCTAATTACTTTTGCTCGTAAATTACATTTGCCAAATATATGTAGATTGCTTTCTTTCGACCGGAGCAATGTGGGCCTTTTTTTTAATTTTTCAATATTCTTTAGGTTATATTATCTGAATTTTATTGCATTTATTATTTATTAAATGGCAAAATAAAGTTCATTTTCATATTCTTTAGATATTTTACTACAAAAAAGAGAAGAAAAAAAGAAAATTTTTTAAAAGTAACTCGTGAAAATACTTAAATTTCCCCATTTTTGACAGTGAAAATCAATCTTTGTTCCACTGTGAACCGGTAAATTTTCTATTTTGGAAAAAACTTAAAATGTGGATTTAAAGAATGACCATAGCTTGGCATGTTTTAGAAATTAGAAGTAGTTAAAAGAGCGTGTTTTAGAAAAGGAAAATGGCTTGATATGGGCGTTGAAGAAAATGAACATAACTTAAAATGCATATTAAAAAAAGTGAACACTTTAAATACCTTTAATAAATCTGGACGTCTCTTTTTTGATGGTGGATGACCAATTTCTTTTTAATTTTTTTTTTGTGGTGGAGAAAAGGTTTCCAACCGATCATTTGACATTTAAACGCCTCTCTTCAAATCAAAATTTACTCGCTTGATGATTTATCAACGTTTCACTAATTAAAAAATTATAAATGACAAATTTTCAAATGAACCATATATTTCCAATGGAGTTTTTAATTAAAATGCTAATCAGAGATGAGTAAAAAGTTAAATGATAATAATTATTAAATAAAATTTACTTATTTCTTATTTAATTATTACGCTAAATGAATAATAATTAATCAGTTTCACTTCACATCATAGAAAAGGCGAGCAGTTTGTCTGATGTTACCAAATCAAAAATGCGTGTTCTTTAACAATTCCTTCGCCGACAACTAGTGGTCCGTGGACCACCGTTTGGTGACCCCTGATCTTGCAGATGTTTGGTCCCTAAAATTTTCCGAACTCATTGATATGGCCCTATGACGCAAAAGATTGATGATTCCTAATCTGAAGCTTAATTTATCATTATAAAATAGGGAAGTTTTTTAGAAATAATAGATCATAATCTAGAACTGAAAGAGCATTTAAAATGAATAATTTTTTAATAGGAGTTTTCTAAGGAAACTAACACACCTGCTATTTATATTTATACTAGGGACAAATCTATCCTTTAAGCATTGTACATAGTACGATATGTAATGTTCTACCACTATAGAGTAGTTTGAATTAATATCTTTTGTAATCTTGCTAAAACAGGAAGAAACAACTATAAATTCTTTTAATAAGAACAGTAATAATTATGAAGAATTCAGTCAGAAAGAACTTGAGAATCTTTTTAATTTATGTTATGAAAAACTTTAAACAAGCACGACAAGCAAACCTTGAGAATCTGCTTAAGCCATGGTTTATTGGAATTACGATTTTCGAGTTCCTCGTGAAGAGACTTGAGACTTTGATATTATAGAAAGGGAGTCTGGAATTAGATCTCTATAGGACATAAAGCTCCCTTTTTTTCCAGGAGATCAGCCGCCTCGTTTCCCTGGATTCCACAGTGGGTCGGAATCCACTGGAGAGCCACTATGTTATTACTGGCAAACCATTTGAGGAGATTTGAGCAATTATCGATGGTTAAAGATCGAGAGCGGCTGAGAGCATTAATTGCTTGAAGTGCAGCCTTTTAGTCAGATAATATTGCAACTTTTGAGAAGGAGTCTTAACGCGGCCGAAGTTGTGCCAGGGCCTGGTAAATGGCGGCAATCTCGCCATCGAAAGCTGATCTATAAATGCCGGTGGGAGTATACAGGCAGAAAAGTTCACAGTAAACACCAGCACCAGCGTTAACACAATCACTCATTTTAGAACCGTCAGTATATACTCTCAACCATTCTTCCTCGGGTTAGAAGGATTCCGTTGTTTCGAAAGCTCTTAAAACTATATCACTAGTCTCCGCCTTTGAGGCATCCTTGATCAGATCAAGGCGGATAGAAAATCCCCTGTCAACAATGGGCTTGATGGGAGGTAAAAAATGTTCAATCTCAAAATTCAAATCTAACTTAGATATAACATCAGTAACTCCCTGCAGAAATGCCTTGTGTGTTTTCAAGTTTCTCTCACGGAATTCTGGTTCCACAAGGACAGACACCCGGGAGTTCTAATTATTCTCTCCCAGAGGAGGAGGGTTCTTTCCTGTTTAATCAACTTGAGAGGTCTGTTGTCCGTACTGAGTAACATACAGTCAATGGGCCTGCGTTATCAAACGCTTGGCCTGGTTTTGAAAAATATCAAGAAGGTTAAGAAGGCAAAAAAAGTAATAATAAAATAAAATAAAAAATCAACCATTATTTTATGCATTTAATATGTTGACGGGGTAATTGAATAATGGAGAATAAATTCTTAAAAGAAGCGTGAGAATGGATAAAACTTTATTGCAAGTACCCCATTTAAATTTCTGTACTTTTTAGAATTATATGGCTATATTTTTGAATTTTCTAATGCATGTTATGACAGTAGTTCAGGTTCTAATCACTTTTTATTGATCCTTAAAACTTATAAAACGCTTCCTGTGAACGCAAATAAATGGAATATTGATTTATATTTGACAATTATTTAGTGAAGGAGTTCGACACATTTAACGATAAAAAAAGTATTATTTGGCAATAACGATTAGAAAATTATAAAACAAGCTTTGTGGTGATGCTCAGCTTTGCCACGGGTATAGGCACATTTAGACGTTTTTGACATTATCGTAACAAATTATAAAATGATTGTGTTGAGAAATAGTTGTTGCCTTTTAATTTCAACTAAATACAACGCAATTTTTTTTATACTGAATGAGTAAACAAGATTATGTAGATGTAATTTTTGTTTTCGAAATTACTGAAATAGATTTTTTTTTAACAAAAATGCTTCATTCTTTTTGCTTTTAATAGTATATTCAGTAATAAAAATAATAAAAAGAAAATATTTTTGTTCGTTAATTTATTCTACCCTCTCACATTTATATTCTTACATCTTTGACTATATTCTTTGTAAATAGAATACTGCCGTGCAATTCAAAAAGTGATTCATTTTGGAGTTTGGAGTGGAGTTTTCTATTGCTAATGCTATAAACGCTAAAGTAGAATTTCAAAAAACTGATAAAACAAACTTTATTTTTCAAAAGATAATTTTATCTTAATATGTAGCTTAGCATACAAAAATACCAAGTGTATAAAAATCTCAATTATGAATTTTTTGTCGCTTACATTGGTTTTTCCATTGCATATGGCAGAATAGGCGTTTCAAAGTTATACGATTTCTCCACTCTCTACAGTTTTCTCCTTTCTGTTGCCATGGTTTCGCCAAATCTTGCTTTTTACTTGGGCAGTACGTTTTAGTAAGAAGTTGACTTATACTTGTGTAGGTGAAAAACAAGATTTTTCATAGAATGTTTTTAGGTAGAAGTACGAAGAGTGAGGAAATTGCGTTATCTTGAGACTAATATTCTGTTTACAAAAATGACAGTTGTTAGAAGTGACACATATATTAACATTCCTTGTACTATAAACATCTTGTAATATTTCCTTTCTTATGGATTCCAGATTCCATACGAGTGTCAACAGTCTTAAGACAACCTTTTAATCTCTACAAGCCTGGAATTGTGGACACATTTATTCATGGCCTCATAAATCAAAAAGCAAATGCTATGGATCCTGAAGTTACAACAGAAGTTAGATCATTTAAATACTAGTAAAATTTCATCAAAGAATCATTTAAATACAATTTTAGTTAGCTTTGTTTTAAGGATTTAGAGTTTGATAAAAATGTACATACAAATTACTTAAACAAATGTTTTACAATCTAAAATTTTACTTAATTAAGGATGTTTTAAATGATTGATGTATATATTTTAGTTAGTTTTTTGACACTTAATATTAATTAACAGTCCAACATTTCAAATTTTATTTACTTTAAGAAGTTTCAAATATTTTTAAGTATATTTTTTATTAATTTTTCGTTACGTTGTTTTAATCGGTAGTCCAAAATGCCAAATATTTTCCTATTTTAGAGCATAGTGAATGAAGCTTTTCTGTCGGTACTGATCACATAGTGCTTATGTGCGAAATGTTATAATTCCTTTTAATAAGTGCGTATGAGATATAATTAATTACATTTAAGAAATAGATGGTCTGCTATCACTATGAGGATGTCTTTTAAGCAATACAGTATTTTTTAAATTAATAGTATAAGTATTTCAAAGTAATAAAGTGCGTATGCAAGTATGTAAGTACTATAATAGTATTTTATAGTAATAGTAACTATGTATTAAATTTGTTTTTAGACAATCCATTCTCTGAAGATTAAATTTGTAAATTTTATTGATTGAAACTGTTGTAGGGAAGATCGACAACAATCAAAACAGGTGCTCAAAACAGACGACAAAAATTAAGCTATTTTCAAAAAAATTGATAATAGCCGGTAATCCATTAATACAGAAGAATTTCCACGACACAGCTGATGATTGTGTATATAACCTATTTCTGATGGATGCTGTTTGTGGTGGTCTTTCACTGTTTTTCAATTCAGTGATTTTGAAATTGAACCAGTTTTAAAAAAAAAATTAAAATTGATCATTTTTGGTAATTAACACGGATTCTTATATATGTCTTGCACATTTTTTCAATCATCATCATCAACATTGAATGAAAATTTAGACTTGTGGGGATCTTAAGAGATATAATTATTTTTCTATGACCAAAACAGAAAGACACATTTTTTTGGTTTCATTTATGTTAAAAGGTATAATATATATAACTTAACATTATGAGTAAAAAATATTGAGATTTATGTTGTTGTGGTACTATAAAAGAACTTTAAAATATTTTGTTTAAAACCTCTTTTTGTCTTTTGAATGACCAAAAACCAAAAACACCCTCCTAATTTTACGGGATGACAGTTTGCCTGGATCATTTATACTAGAATTTCAAAGGAATCCTTTTCTTGAACTCATTCTGTGGCATGGCATCCATTCCTCAAACTGTACAAAATCTTGTTTCTTCCTTTAAAATACATGCTTTTAATTATCTTTTTAATTTTAATTTTTACTGTTATTTTGAGGTAATAAATAAAATACCTTTAAATCTTTGTAAAGTTAAAGATCTTTTCAAATCTAATAGTGAAATAAAAGAAATACTAATAAAAGAAATCTAATGTAGATAATGTCTTAGTTCTCATAAAGTATTTGCAAAAAGCAATCTTTAATCTCGAGACTTTAATACATTCAAGTTATCAATGTTTTAAAAAAATTGTTTAGAGAATTTTAGAAACAAAAATGCATGAAGTTGAATTCCATGCCAACTGAAACCAGTAGTGAACTTTTAACGTTTAAGCAATATCCTTGTATTTGGTATCATTTTAGAGGAAATTCGTTGCAATTTATGAATTCAAAAGTCATTTTTTGGAGTTATGCATGATTATAGTAAACTTTATCATAAATAGAGAGCATTCATGATTTTGACTTATTCTACCAAAAAAAAACTGTCTATTTTAAAGACGAATAAGTTATTAAAAATATGACGATTTTGCATATAGTTTGATTTATATTGTAAAATGAATTGTTTTGAGTCTAATTAGGCAGTGACTACGGTCAAAAAAAATTTTCTTCTTATTTTTTAAGTCAAAAATGATCTCAAATATATACTGTCTCCTCTGTTACAATTGTTCTTTTAAGTTTATTTTATTCATCGCAAAAAAAAACTTTTTAACTTGATATTTCGGTTTTACATTAAAGTCTATTAGTACAATCATGTTATGTTATATTTTTGAAGAAAAAAACTAAAAATTTTAAAGTTTCTCATGTAACAGAGAGGACAAAACTGAATGTCCCCTCAGTTACGCAAAATTGATAAGTTGACGATCAAAAAGAAACTGTAGGAATGTATACAAGTGCTAATGTATCTTGATTCAACTAGTTTAAACCAGTTCCTCCACAGAGCACCCTTTTTTACAAAGCTGTGCCGTTCAGGTCGTTTTATTTAATAGTGTGTTTAGGTTATAGTTAAGTTTTTTAAAAGAGTAATCAATATGGGGAAAACAGCAGCAGAAAAACTGAGAGAATATAGAACCAAAATGTTCCAAAAAAGAAGGATATTTGTAAGAAGAAAGATAAAGAAAATATAATGAAAATTTATGATAACAGAAATATTTTGGAAAAAAAACCGTAACAGAGAAATAGATAAATTGGAAAAAAAAGAAGACAAAGGAAAAATAAAAAGGCACTGATACAAGCAGTAGAAATTCAGGAAGGATATTCTCTCTATAATATTCCTTAGGCATTGGAGAAAGTTATTAAAAAAGCAAACCGTGCATTGCCTGTATCTCCAAGAAAACGTTGTACTGTTCTATGCATACTCTGTAACCTAGCTACCAAAACAAAAGAAATAGCCTAGTAACAAAGTGTTCGATGAAACAAAAGAAAACTAAGTAAATTTCGACTCATCTGATAAACTTTCTCACCAGACTTCTGGTAGAGCTGAGTGCATGGCTGTCAAAGAAAATGGACAGAAAGTTCACAAAGCCAAATGTGCACCTAAATGGAAGCATATCAAGTATCAAAGCAGATGCATCCAAACATAAAAATTGGCAAATCTAAGTTTTGCTGTACTACGACCTATCCATTATTTATGCGTAGGTAAAACACCATATAAAATTTGTATGTGCTATTGACGAAAATGTGAATTTTCGATTAAAATCACAGTTGTTTGCTTAATTACAGAATATAGAAACTTGCGACAATCGCTCAATTGACTTTTTATTTTAAAACCGTCGTTGAACAGCCGACCCAAATTTGAGTTTACGGCTACCAATGTTCAACTCCGTAGCCTTGTAATTTTGAACCCAATCCAAAAGCAAAGGAAATTCCTCGATCAGTACCCTCAGAGGTATTGATTTGTTTTCGGAACTTGGAGGACTTTGGGATCTGACAAGTCCTCCATGTCCTATTTAAAGTACACCAGTCACCATTTAAAACACTGGGATTCTTTTGATGTCGCTATAGATAATTTTGCAAGTGTAAAAAGTTCTAGGAAAAAATTGGGTAGTTAATTTTGTTGCCCAAATAACTGAAATTGAGAAAGAAACAAACAATGCACTTGTGTTTTTTTTAAACAAGGGTGTGGTAAAATGAAAACTTTCAAATATAACTACAAAGATGTAGCACGGGTTTCAATTATAGCAGTGCTGCTAACTCCAACTTCAAATACCCGAAGAGTCACTCTTAACAAAGATATTTTCCTTTAACTTTTTGTCAATTTTGTAAGACGTCTCCTCCGTTACATTCCATGTCCTCTCTGTTACAATGCATTATTTGGACTTAAAAAAAGGGGGTTGGAATTTTAAAAGTCTTATAATAATTTATTTTACCTTGAAATGGGATAATTTAAAAGAAAATTACAGATAATGTTTAGGATGGTTCAAATCACAGAATTTAGCATAAATAACAGTGCATGTCAAAAATGTGGGATTTTATTTGTCCCCTCTGTTACTACTTTTAATTAACTTGCAAATTAATTATGAGGTTTTTTTATTATTTTATGCCTATTAATTAAACATTGCACCTTAAAGTAGCATATTCTAATAGAATTTTTGTTTTCAAAAATATTTAATATACTTTTTTGAATAAAATACTTGTGTGATTTCCCCTCTGTTACGCTTGGAATTCAATTGAAATGTCATTTGCAAATCCAAAAGGAAAAAAAANAAGAAGAGGATGGAAAAAAGGCATTTTTTAAAGCATTCTGATGACGAGCTTGTCTTCATCGATGAGAATTTTTTTTCTAGAAAAACCTCATAACTATCAAAATGATTGTTTGAGATCATTTCCAACTAAAGACTTACAACACAACAAAAAGTCGTTTCTTGATTTTAAAACGGCTTATGGGAACGGCTTTGGAACGCATTTTTCAAGCGGGAACAGCTTCCGTTGGTTTATTTCATTCGAGTTAAATCTTGTGCAAAAGACAGAAGAAAAAAAATTTGGAGAAGATTTTTTGCCGAATATTAAAACTCTATGAAGAAACGAATATTATTAGTATCAGTGAGATGGTGCTCTTTCACATACTACAGACGTGCGGCATAGACAATTCGACTGATTTTCTATCATAAGTACCTGAAGCTCAATGGATATTAATTTTTTGGATCATTATTATTAAAATTCAATGGTGGGGAATAAGCATATTTAGACCAATTTAAAAGTGCTGAAAAAGGAGTAAAGAAAGAAATTACTGTATGTTTTGCTTCATTACTTATGAAAAAATTAAAACCTGTAAAAAAGGAAAGGTGAAATCATATAAAGGCATTAGCTATGAGGATTTTGCACATAAAGTTGATTGCTGTATGTAACATCGAAATATTTTCAATTCAACCTTAAAAACTTATCTTTAAGTCTGTACGGTAACTTATTGTGCGGATTATAAAGATAGAAATAATAATAGATTTGTACATATACAACACGTTTTAACAGATATATAGTACGCTTTTACAGGTAATTCACTGGCGATATATTGGGCATTTTCGTTCATTAAATTATCTTAGGTAAAATTAATCCTTCCATAAATCAATCTTTATTTATTTTTTCGATCTTACTTTAAAGAGATATTTATGATTTTTGACATTGTATGAAAAGAAATCGGTTAAAATTGAATCAAAATCTGAATACAGCAATGGAAACAAGTTTTTAAAGATTTAACTTCCTAAATTTTTACCATCTAAAATATTTTATGAAATAATACATTATTTGATGAAACATGTTTAAAGCAATTTTTTTTCCATTAAGGTAACCAATCATCTCTTTGAAAAACCAGGTGATGGTTTTGGAATGGATTTGGCTGCTATAAATGTCGAAAGAGCTCGAGAACATGGTATTCCGGGTTACACTAAATACAGAGAATACTGCGGTATGCCCAAAATTAGGAGTTTTTGGGATTTAATCGGCATTTTGCCAAACAAAACTGTTCATCGTTATTCTCAGATTTACCGGTAAGTGTTTCCTCAAATTCTCACGTCAAATAGATATTTGCTTCTTATTATCATTCACTCATTTCTTCTCAAGATCATTATAAAGATTAGCATTCCTGCATGGAAAGATTTGGCTAATAAAAAAATCATTGTCTGTCGTATTCTGCAATAGTTAATTTATTTTTTCCCTACTCGAGATCATCATAAAGATTAACATACCTTCAGGAAAAGATTTTGCTAATAAAGAAATCCCTAATTTTTTCTATTGTATATTTTTTGAAATTGATATTGTAATTAAATATTGCATTATTTTAAAATAAAATATGGAAAACGTCAAGACTTAAGGGGGTGCTAAATCGGTATTTTGGAATATTTTTGATAGTGTTATTTTATATATACATATCCGGCTGCGTGAGTGAGATTAAAAAAATATATCCCCGATCGGAATTTCTGCATGACCCGGGCATATGGAGCAATTTCTCCAGCCCTGTCTGCGATAGTTAGAAAAACGATGAAAGGTCGGCAAGGATCTGATTTAACCAGCGGTAATTTAAAACAGCCATCACTGGTATTTGAACTGGGATCCCCTCAGAGGGAGACGAGTACTGTGTTCTCTGAGCCACCTCGGTTGTAGTGTTCCAGTAGGAAAAAAAGTTTAAATCTTAAATATTGAAATCATATTGAAGTGTAAAAATATTTCAAACTAGTGTGGTCCACTTTGTTACCATTTACAACTTAATTTACCAAAGATATATTTAAAGATAGACACACAACTTTATTTACTAAAGATCGAATTAAATCTAAAGAAAGATATAATATCAATTTGACAATAAAATTGAATAGTAGTTTTATTTGTGTGTTGTTCAACACCATAAAATAATTGCTGAAAAGTAAGAGCAAGTACTGTAAATAATCGTAAAATTATTTACGAAAAAGTGAAGCTGTCATGCAGTATGAGTACAGTGAAAAACTGTTTTGTCAACCAACAGCTTAAACCTTCAAATATACAGATAAAGTTGTTTGGAAAAAAACAAGCATTTTTTACAGTGTATTTTTCACAGAGGGACTTGAATAAACTTGCGTGCCTTATTTTGATTTCGATTGAAATTTGAAAAATAAATCTTGAAAAACTTAAATTGAACAATTTAAGTAGAGTGAACAAAATAGGATTGGTATGAAAATCTATTTACAAAATTGTAGAGTGTTAAACAAGTTTCAGAAAAATAATATATCATTCACATTGTAGACACGTAGAAGATATTGATTTATGGAGTGCTGCTATTTCTGAATATAATTTACCTGGAGCAGTTCTTGGTCCAACATTAAGTTGTCTTATAGCTGAACAGTTTGCAAACCTGAAAAGGGGAGATAGATTCTATTATGAAAATTCAGGCTGGCCTTCATCTTTTACTCCAGGTAACGTTTTACAATATTCATATTTTAAAATGCCTAATATCAATTTTGATTTTATGTAATCTTAATTTTTTAAAATAAAAATACATCTAACAATTCTCAAGTTGTACTTGAAATAAATGATTTGACAATAGACTAAAATAGTTATTTTAAATTGATTAAAGATATAGGGTGTTCAAACTGAAGGAATTGTTATTGAAATACAGAGGTACTATGCAAACACATTTTTTGACCTTTCTCAAAAAATACTTTGAGAATCATTTAATAAATTTAGAAAAGTTTATGTTATGTGATTTTTCTTACATATCAATGAAGTTTACAGCTTTTAGATGTTTGAAGGACCGACAGTAAATTACAAATGCAAAATAGTGCTTTTGAAAATCTTATTCCAAAAAATACAGCAGTTTGTAATTTATAACAGCTATTTTGGTTATTATATGCAATAATTACACAAAATTTCGTAAACTTAGCTTAAAGATTTATGGAACTATGGACATTTTCATTAAAAAAAAATTTTTTTTGATTTTTTGCTATTACTTTAAAATATACGCAATAAAATTACACAAAATTTTGGGGGTAATTTAAAATAAATTACAAAATTATTTCTTCAAAATTTGAAAAAAAAATTGTTAAAAGCTGTGCAAGGTATGAGTAATTAAAGTAATTCTTTCATACTACGCATGCGAGGGAAAAATTGAAGTTGTTACTATTTTTTTTTTTAAATTTTAGTGAATCGTATTTGGCAACTAATTCAAAAGTCCTATTTGAATATCTTTAAAACTTAAAAAGTTTCAAGTAATTTTTTAAGTAGTTTTCATGATTTTTTTTTCTTTTTTGAAAAAAAAAGGCTTTAAATGATAAGGGGTTATCCAAAAATATCATTTTGTCCTATTAAAAAAGACTTATTAAAAATGATACTGGCATTGTTGGTGGATCCTCACCCATAAGAAATATCTTTCGTTATTCACTCACATTTTGGTGCATGAGCGTTTATTATAAGGTATTATCATTTTTTTATTAACTTTTGTCAATGATGCAAAATACTATTTGTAGAAAACCCCTTATCATTTGGAGTTTTCTTTTAAAATGTACAAAAACTACTTGCAAAATTGCTTGAAACTTTTTAAATTTTTAAGATAATTTAATCTGACTTTCTTCATTAGTTTCTAAATCCGATTAACTACAAAATTATGAAGAAAAAGTTTTAAATTTTTTCTGCGCATGTGCAATATGAAAAACTACTTTAATTACTTGTAAATTACACATTTTTCAATGAATTGTTTTCAAATTTTAGAGCAAAAATTTTATAATTAATTTTATATTGCTCTGAAAATTTTGTTTAATTTTATTGAATAATTTTAGTTTTAATAAAAAAGCATAAGGCAAAAAAATAATTTTTTTAAATCAAAATGCCCATACCTCTATAAATATTTAAGCTAAGCTTTCCAAATTTTGTGCTGTTATTGCATGTAATCACCAAATTATTTGTTAAAAGTTACAAGTTAATTGCTACATTTTTTGACATAGAATGCTCAAAAACTTTATTTTCCGTTCGTAATTTATTGTCGGTCTCTCAAAGCTAAAAACTTTAAACTTCATTGATATGCGTGAGAAATCGCATGATCCAAACACTTTTGAAACTAATGATTCTTTAAGTATTTCTTGAGAAATATTAAATATGCATAGATATAGAAGTGTTTCCGTTATTTTGTCCACCCTTTGTAATTACCAGTTTCTTTATTCTAGCTTTTAATAGTTACTTTTGCATAGTATTTGGAACAGTTTTATGCAGTAGTTTCATATTATATCTCATTTTCATTAATAATTTGGATACCTTTCTGAAGAATAATAAATTACAAATTATCTAACCTAATAATTAATGTAACATTTATAGGTTTTCCATAATTGTCTCATATGTTACCTAAATATCTATTAAAATTATTGGAATATTATACAAATAGCTTGATATCAGGTAAAGACATTTTCCTTATTTTAAAACAAGCAAGTTCAGATGTGCCATTTTTAATCAATTTAAGTAAAAATAGCTTTTTTACTGAGCGTTTTTTTTTAAATATTGAATTTTTAATTCAAAATATTAATTTAGTTTATAACGAGAAAAAAAAAGCGCATCTATTTCCAGAAGAACTGAAAACCGTTTGATAATTTTATTTTCTATTTTAACTGTTCCTCGGGCCGGGCAAGGTTGACACAGGTCCCTTCAGTGGGTCTATAAATGAGTACCAAGCCTGCTTGGGAACCAGGGTTTCCGCTACGGTAGCTTTTTTCGCAAAATGCGAAAAGACCCCTCAAAANCAGAGCCCAAGGTCAAGAAAACTGAGATGGGCAACAGTAGGCCTTGGCTGTCGAGCCACTGAGTTTAGTTTATTTTAACTGTAAAATTTGTAATGATACTTCCCAGTCAACACGCATTGAAACATTATTGTTCATAGCAACTCATAAATATCAGTTTCTTTATGATTCATTAAATTCTTTCCTATTTTATGATCGTTATCTGTACTTTAGAAATGGATAATCTCTTTTTAAACATGACAATTCATTACTTATTAGGGTTTTAAGAAATGATTCATAAAATTGTTCAAGAAAAATTTTTAAGAATTGGAATTCCAAAAAAAGAAGAAAAAAAAACATTTTAAATCATTTGCAAGTGTGGGGGATAATTAGTAATCAAAAAGATTTCGTCAAAACCAGGATCATTGTATGTATTCGACTATCAGAGGCTCTTTTTTTTAGCAACATTACAAATACCAAAGGAATATAGATTTTTTTTCGTTGTATCGTAAAACCTAATATCGATGTTTGATTGTATTATTTGAATCATGTCCGAAATAGCACACATTACTAAGTCACAGTGAATAAAGGCCAGATTGAGCAAATATGAAAATTCTAAGGATTGTGAGAGGAAATAGATAAAGGTTGAAGGGCGGTTATTAGAAATACTTCCACGTTTAATTAAGCCCTCAAATATTTCAATGTTTTTATCCTATTCATTATCCATACTAGTAATTTGCTGGATTTTGATAACGTATTTTTTTCCTACATTAAATATTATTCTTTCTCATAACGTGTATACTTTAGGAATTGTATTTTTGACAAGGATTCTAAAAACACAAATTACAGTCATTACGGTAAGTAATTGGAAAGGCGATGTTTTTAATATTTTCATCACTACAATATTTTGCGTACATCGGTGCTATTAATGTGCTTTTTTTATGTTTTGTTTTTCTCCTAAAATGAATCTATGATTCGACTCTATCATTATATTTTCATTATATTTAACATCAGAATGCTATTCTGAAAAAACGGTCAATTATTTAAAATCATTTTTTAGATTTATTCATTTAGTAACAATTTTTAATTAGCTGAAATTAACTTTTTCTTAAAATACTTTATAGGAAAATTTCATTGTTTGCATGAAATTCAATTTAAAAATAAGTGCACGTCAAAGAAAAATAACTATTTTTTATAATATTTTCCTTTTAGTTTATTTTTTGCAATATTAAAAATATTATTATAAAATTTTTATGTCACCTTTTCCTTTTAAGTTTTTAGAAAGTGACCGAAGGAAAATTATTCGATTTTTTTATTATTTCATTGAAAAACATGTGGTTAAAGATTCGGTTATTTACCAGTACTCGCAATGCATGTTAAACTTCATAAATTTATGACATTTTCGTGTTTTTCAGTAGAATATTCTTGAACTGTCTTTTATTCAGAATAATTGCAATGAAATATTCTAACTTGCAGAGCAACTGACTGAGATTAGAAAAGTGAAAGTTGGCCGAATAGTCTGTGATAATTCAGATGATACTCTGACGATTCCTCTAAATACATACATGGTTGGAGATCCTGTTTTGTAAGTTTTTATTTATTTTTAATGCAATTATTATAAGTTATACGATAATAATTATAATAAAAGAAATAAAATAAAATACAGTCGAGCTTCGATTCCGCGTCTTTTGTTTTCCCGTATGTATTGTACCGAGAGCAGTGGCGCTGAACACTCCTACTTATATAGGTTTGGCTGCGGAATCCTGGAACATGATTCTAGACAATTCTCTTTAACTCCGTAAATAATAGTCATATCGCTCCGAAACTCGAATTTTGCAGAACTATGATTTGGCCGCTAAATTGATCCTCTAGTCTCCAAAATTATCGCCAAGTCGGCAAAAATTTCACCAAACCGAGTTTTCCATAAGAAATGCATTAGTCATAATTTTTTCTCTGAATTACGTTAGAATTACGCTTTTTTTACGAATTTTCTAATTGAAATGTTCATTAAAGGTTCGTCTGAAATATTTTGCCTACTAACAAAAACATTTACTAAATTATAAAGATTTTTACAAATTCGTAACAATATCGTATTCTTTTAACGGTCCCGACGCAAAGACTTAATCTTATAATGTTACTAGTACAAGTTTAGATCATTTTTGTAGCTAGCTGATTCCCGCGTTTATCGTTCAGAAATTCTACTAACATATAATAAAAATATGGAAGTTAATTTGTTTTAACACGAAAAACAGAAAATTTTGATGCTAGTTACAAAAATGTAAAGAAAATTGGGAATTTGTTACAGTTTGAGCAAAACGTCTCAAACAACAGGTTTGATGCGTCAGATGATGAAGATGTTGAAATTTGTGGCGTTGTTGGATTAAAAAATGGTGAGCTTGAGAAGTTCAAAATGATTCCGATGAAAACCGAACTGAATGTAATCAATTAGAACAAACATTTGCGGAAAGCCTTTAAAACATCGAGGAACTTTTTACTTTCACATGAACTTACGGAGAAAGAGCAACAATCTGTAACAAATGTCTAAAATTTATTGTCTGCATTTAGAAAAAATAGAACCGAAATTTCCAAATGTCTTAAGTAAGTAGATAAATTTGATCTTCCTTCTCCTGCATCCTAACTATTTTTGCAGGAAGCACATAATTTGTTCAATTAATTCAATTTTAGTATTTGATCAAGATTTAAGAGATATGTGCACTCTCACGTAGTATTCCATACGTAAATTCAGGGCAAGCTCTATACACTGTTTGAATTCTTATTCTAAAATTACTGAAAAATACCTGGTAGCAGTTTGTACATCCAATTAACAGTTAAGTTTGCGGTCAAGAACATTTTTTACCCTTACGGCTTTGAAACCGTTCACAACAAGCATGGTTAAAAAACCATGATTGCAAAAGTACTCAGTTTTTTTAACCATTTTCAATCAGCATGGTTTGAGAACCGTAAAATTAAATTTTACTGGACATTGGAGGTAGGTTGGGGTTCAGTTGTGTTTTGAACAGTGGGATCAATCGAACAATGGGGTTCGCTTTTATTAGCTTATTTGATTGTTTCACCTATCGTAAGAGAGGGGAAATACTATACTTTTTTGTGTCAAGCAAATTTATGGTGTTGCCATTTATGTGTGAATGAGAGTATCGTATTTTAATGGTCCAGAGTCACAAATTGGAGGATGTGGGACACTGTAAATTCTTCACATGTTGAAGGTAATGGAGGAAATATTGTTGTGTCAACGCTGGGTTTCGAACTCTCGTTCTATCGGTCAGGAGATTGACAGTTTTGCCCTCTCGGTATATATGTACCCAGTTGCTAGGAACTAAGTGGCTTCATTAGGTGGGCATAGTTGGTGAGATCAAATTCTGGTTGTTTAACCATATTAAATGAAAGTAGTTAATAAACGGTTTTTCTCACAGATAACAGTTTGAATACCATCCCATTTATGGTTATTTGACTGTTTTTTAATATGGTAAAATAACAATTAAATGAAATGCTATTTAACCAATTTTTTCCTAGAAATTTCTAACAGTGTAGAGCAACCAGGTTGTTAAGTGGTAGCTGCGCAATACAGTGAGTGTGGGATACTTCGTGACAAAGTCTCTTTCTGTTTTTACTGTATAATCAAAATACAAAAGAATTATGTTTGTGTTTTTCTTAGAAACCCATTTGTGGAATGTAATAGTCATCATTTTCCTCACATGGATTTAACGAAGTGGAGAGATACAAGTTATGAATAAATTGAAGATATTTATGTACATATTTCATGAGGTTATCCTCAAGCCAAGACTTTAAAGTGAAACAAACTTTTATATTTAAATACTTTACCAGCTATTTATTTTGTGTTGTCTCAATAATGTTTTACTTAAAAAGAATCAATTAAATTTCAATCGTGATAAAATTGAAAAAAAGAATGCTGCCAAATACTTTTCTAGTTACTACATGGGAGAAGTGGATAGATCCTGACTTTACAATTTTAACTCACGTAAGCAGAGAAAAACGATTACCTATATAGTTTGAAAAATTACCATTGTGCATGAATTATGATAAGAAAAAAATTGATATAATTATAAATTTTTACAGATATAGTTATTTTATACCTTGTATTTGTGTAGGTGTTCCGTTGCAATTGTTTTTGTATTGTAAAAGTTTCAAATATTTTTAGGAAATATTTCCAAGCCAAAATACATCAAAAATATATTTTTATTTTTGTAGTTTCAAGCTTCCCGTTTCAATAAATTGTTTATTTTCTTGTCGGTGAGCTGCTTTTTACAGAGTTAAAAAAATTCTTCATAAATGTCCATTTATTCTTAAGCTATATTTATAATATTTTGTTTTTAGTAGACTTTTTACAAATAAATATGAGAAAACAACGAAAATACATACTTCTTAAAAGTTGTTAATTAGTAAATTTCAACTTACTTATTCTAGTGCTTCCTTAATTATAAAAATCAATTCATTCAATTAGAGAAGTTAAGTTTTAAAAATGCGCGAGAATTTCTTGCTTTATTTAAGGCACCAAAAGCATTTCTTTAGAAAGTTTAAAATATTTATGGTATAATAACATTTACTTATGAAGTACCTATGCAAATCTTTATTTGTCACTACGTTATGGTAGTTGAGTTCAGACTTTTGACATCTTAATTAGCTAAAACACAACAGTATCTCTTAGCGTGTTCCTTAAAGTTGTACGTAAATGCAATTTTAGAATTAGTTTCTCAAACATTACAAAGCAGGGTTTGACAAGTTCTGACACTTGTGTACCAAACTTCATAAAAATTAAAATTGGTGATATAGTGAATGGTCAATACTGGTCAAATTTATTCATGCAGCAACTCTTTTGTCATATTTCTTTTTTTACACTCTTTTTTTTTGTATAGTACTTTATTTTTATTACTTTTGTGAATTTATGTCAATTATTTATGAATATTTGGCAATCTAAAGCCAGTGATCTCTATACAAATAACAGAAATCGAAGAAAATTTTAAAAATTGAAGGAGATCCATTCTTGTAAAATCCAATTCATTGATCCGAAAAAAATGAAAAGCCTTTTTAAAAAGAAATGGATTTTAATGTTTGAAAAGTTTCTCCGTCATAATATCATGAAAATTTAGGATTTATTCATTGATTTTTAAAATTTCTATCTACTTGAAAAAAATGTTCTTATAAAATCGATGTAAATATTGTTTAAAGTATTTTAGGTAAAAAAAAAATGTGAGTAAAAAACTTGATTTTTTTTTTTACTAATACGGTAGTCCAAGTATATAAAAAGTTCGATTTTTGCTGTGAAAAATAGAAAAAAAGAAATATTTTCAAATATTGCTTAAAAATGTTTCTTTTTTTAGTAAAATGTAAGAAATATGATACCGTCTGATTGGGTGACTTTGTGCAACGAGGGGTGACTTTGTGCAAACTGTCATTTTTTCAATTACTAACATTATAATAATTAAAAACAAAAATTTATTCATGATTTGTTATCTCAATTGATAAGACTTTTAAAGTTTAACCTACCTTCCTGGCCAAGGTAACTGGAACTTCTTCAACCAAACAGACTTTCCAGCCTCCGATTTTACGACGTTAAAAAATTTGAAACTGTTTGTAANCTCTATACAAATAACAGAAATCGAAGAAAATTTTAAAAATTGAAGGAGATCCATTCTTGTAAAATCCAATTCATTGATCCGAAAAAAATGAAAAGCCTTTTTAAAAAGAAATGGATTTTAATGTTTGAAAAGTTTCTCCGTCATAATATCATGAAAATTTAGGATTTATTCATTGATTTTTAAAATTTCTATCTACTTGAAAAAAATGCTCTTATAAAATCGATATAAATATTGTTTAAAGTATTTTAGGTAAAAAAAATGTGAGTAAAAAACTTGATTTTTTTTTTTACTGATACTGTAATCCAAGTATATAAAAAGTTCGATTTTTGCTGTGAAAAATAGGAAAAAAGAAATATTTTCAAATATTGCTTAAAAAATGTTTCTTTTTTTAGTAAAATGTAAGAAATATGATACCGTCAGATTGGGTGACTTTGTGCAACGAGGGGTGACTTTGTGCAAACTGTCATTCTTTCAATTACTAACATTATAATAATTAAAAACAAAAATTTATTCATGATTTGTTACCTCAATTGATAAGACTTTTAAAGTTTAACCTACCTTCCTGGCCAAGGTAACTAGAACTTCTTCAACCAAACAGACTTTCCAGCCTCCGATTTTACGACGTTAAAAAATTTGAAACTGTTTGTAACTTGAGCTCGCAATTTTTCGAGAACGATGATGTTTACATTGCCTGTTCTTGGTAAACCATTAGTTCGTTATGTTGACAACTCAAATCAGTTGATACCGAGCTTAAGAAAAATGCCCCTAGATGGCACGACGCAAAAATTGAAAAAAATGACAGTTTGCACAAAGTCACCCCATCTGACGGTAGTGAACTTTATTTTGATACTAAATAAATAATAAGTGCTATGAAATTTAGATAAAGTTAACCTAAAAAAATTCGCTACATTTTGGTTCACACTGTCAAGCTGGAGTAACTGTGCTTGTCATATGTTCACATAAAATTGCGGGGTATCTATCACTATTGTATAATTAGATCTAACAAAGTCTTCTCTAATTTTCATGATATTTATGCTAAATAATATCTATTCATTAAACGGCTATCGGACAGTAAAATGCTAAATAAAATCTCCACTCATCGGATTAACATTAGCGTGAGGCATAAAACATGTTGTCGATGAACGCGCAAAAAAAAATCAAATAATATTATTTTTCAAGAACAATGTTTAATGTTTTCATCGAAATGAGCATGTCTTTGAAGGAAATTCAGAACGGGGAATTTGGCTTAAATATTTACTTATTCATAATTTTTATAGTTGCTCGGCGATATTATTATTAAAATAATTATTTTTTCTGATATTTAGAAGAAAGTTGACTATCTTTCGTAGATTAATGTTTGGAGAGAATGTATTAACATGAACTTATGACGTTAATGAGCGAATTTTTCATCGCTTTTTAGTCCTTCGTGCCTTACATGGCTCATGTGCTCTTCATCTCGCATGATCAGGAATAATCCTAATTTGAATTATACTATCAAAAAAAATTTTAGAATTACAAATTTTTTAGGCAGCTATACGTGTTTCTCTCTTTAAAATATTCTTTTTTAAGTAAATTAGTCAGATAATTGAACCTTCTTCGAATAAACAAGAGCTTTATGTAAATTGAATGTTCTGTGTTTAATTTTATTCTTTACTTAAGCATTAATTCTTAAAATGATTTCAATTGAGCTATTTTAATAAATTAGCCTCGTTTAATCATTACTTAAACAATTTATAGATAACTAAACGGAAAATTATTTTTTGACTAAAAATATTGGGAATATAAACATGTTCAGAGGTTTCTGGGGAGCGAAATTTTGTATTTTAGAGTAATACTACAGGATACATATACTTTCTTACTGATTAAATGGCTGCATAAATATCAGGATCGAATAAAAATCTTTAATAATTTCACAAATATTGGCTTGAATTTCGGCAAATTCAAATATAGTGCTCAACAATTTCCGATATACATATATATATATATGAAAAGAAACGCTTTTTTTAATTTCTCCTTCTACATTTAGAACAGATGCGAAAATAAGCTTTTAAATTTATAGCTTTTTTCATTTTGTGACGTTTTACATGATTTGAACTTCTAAACTGAATCACTTCTTTAAAACTTTTTTACTGCCTTCTAAAAATGGAAAATTCCCAAAAACATAACACCCACCGAAAAATATAAAAACAGCAAACTTTAATCATTCCAAAGCCTATTAATAAGAAATAGAATGGAAAGTTTACATCAATTTAATATTTTAAAACTATTTCAATTAGTGAGCTCTTTAAGTGCAGAAGAAGACTTAAAAAATTTTAAAATGAGTTTTTATCAAAATATTTTTCTAGTTATAACTTAAATTTTTCGTTTTCGACCAAACTTTACTTTAAAAAAGAAAATTTTCCTGGGATTTTTTGATACAAATAATTTTTTTCGAAAAAAAAATTTAATTTTTTTTGCCTCAATAATTTTTGCCATTTTTAGAATTGAATAGTCTAGATAATAATAAGTTACCAAAATTAAAACAAATAACAAAGTTTAAAGAGCAAGCTGGCATTTTCAGACTTTTTTTTTATTTTTTCAACTGCTCACACGTCAACGACAATCAAAATATTTAAAGATGAGGTTGTGTGTATTTCTGTAAAAGATTGACGCTTTTTGCTTATTTTGTGAATGTTAAGTGCGTTTGTTTCAGAAAGTAAAAAGTTTTTATTTATCTATACAAGGTGTTCTGAAATGACCCCCCTTAATGAATATTTTTGAATCCTTGTCCGAAAAGTATACACGTTAAGGGTAACAAATAATTATTTAAGTAAGAAAAAAGCACAAACTTTATCAAAATCTAACAAATCACCACTGCGGAAGGCTGGTCTAGAAGCATCGAAACCCATTTGATAGCCGGAGGAAAAATTAAGGAGTTAAAAGAAACAACTCTAAGTTTCATTAGAAAACTGAAATAATTTTGATGCTTTCGTACCATCTTCCTTACTTACTACTAGTGATACAAAAGATTTCAAAATCGCTGATGTTTTTGCTCATATTTATCGAAGATCTTGTGTATATCAACCTTAATGTTTTCTAGATCCTGACCTTTACAGTTTTTGTGCTAAGGAAGTTGTTATTTTTACGGTTATTATATTTTACAATCTTGCTAGTTTACTAAAAAAGTAAAGCATAATCCACATTCGCACAAAAAATAGCTTTACTGTATGAGTACTTTTTTCGAAATTTTATTTATGAATGTAAAAGCTACTTTTTGTGTTTTCATTGTAAATTTTACTTTTAAATCTTGAATGAAACAATTTTTACACAACTGTATAAATCTGTAACTATTTTGTATTATGATAATAAGACATTTGTTCTGAAGATTCACTCCAATTAATAAATATGACAGAAAGAGCTAATGATATGGGAATATCGATTCCTCGCAGTGCCATACTTTTGGGTCTGCAGAACATTTTTTCACGAATTTTTGAAGAATTAATCTTTGTTTAAGTTTGTATTTAAATCAGCTGTAAAATAAATAAAATTTATATTCCTTGTTTCGTTTTTTTCTTTTATTCATCTCATTTTAATCTTTCATTCCATATG